GAAACGTATTATCTCTCGTTCCTTTTTTGTTATCACCATTAGTGATAGTAGCAAATGATGTCACCAATTGAAGGTTAACATTATTTTCGAGTACCCAGTATTATCAATGATTAAAATTCACAATTCCAATTGGAGAACTAGGCTACCATTCAAAGCCTTTCGCTATAGCCTGAAGACTCCCTACGATTAAAACCACCCCTCTCGCGACCTTCGCAGGACTATCTGTACGAGAATCTGGCACTAGACGGCACTAGTGACGCCTAGTTCGATTATTTATCGGGACGGTATGCGGGGATGCGTGGGCAGCTCTCCCTCTGTATTCCCGTTCCTTTCCGCTCGCTGGCCGCTTTCCAAACGGCGACACCCTCACACCTATGGACTTCTTTGTGTCCCGTGTTCACACACAACGTTCCTTCGCGTTACGTATCTCGCGTGTATGTACGTGTGTTACGTGTCGCTTTGTGATTACGCGCGAACCGTCGCGTCTGGCTTTCCTTTGCTCGCCTCTTTCCGACCCCGTTAACAGAGCAGGGTAAAATAATCGACTTTCGATTTTTAATTTTTAATCAAAATGGTTCCCTTTCTAAACATTTCGGGACCAATTTGAACAAAGTTGGAGAAAAGTGTACATAAAATTAAATTGTTCTGGTAATTTGTTACCAGGAGTATTTTTTATCCTGCCGCCCCCCCCTCCCGTTAATCCTTTAACGTTCAGTGTTGTTAAAAGTGCGTCCAATTCTGTTGTTGGTTAATATTTGACTTTTGTATGTAAGGATCATTTCACTGATAATAAAGTAGATCTCTGCGTTTTCGGTGGGGAAATTCAAGTATTCTCTCCAGAAATAAATAAAAATTTGAAAAGAATGGGCACAGTTTAATATCGATATTTTCGACTTGAAAATAACAAGATACAATATATACATAGACATCAGTTTAATAATTTTATAGTAACGATTTGAAGGTCTGGGCGTTAAAGGGTTAATCGCTGCCGGAACTTTTCGACCCTTTCTTTTATTCCCTCAGACGAGACGCGACACATGTTTATTATTGGGTCGTGGCTGGAATCTTTATGCCCCCGATTGAACCACTACTGCGAATTTATTCGACACAGTATTGTTGGAGGGGACTCCAGGGGGAAATTTAGTTTTGTGGAATTTGGATGATGGGCCTTGTGTTAGCTGGATACCCCTGAGAAATTGCAGTCGTTCTGGTAACCCGACGGTGGAGTTCTATTCTTGAGGAGTTACGAGCGACTAGTGACGCGAAGTTTCGTCTGAACTGGGTTTTAGTATTCTTTCTCTCTTTTTTATTTATTAACCCACTGACGATCGCGCGTTTTTAAGCTTCTTGCGTAGGCATTCCCGTGTTTCAATAAAGCTGTTATATACTTCTAAATTTAGTAAGGAGAAACTTTAACCGAATGTAATGAAATTATTATTTCTCCTAAGTGACCCGAGAGAAAGTTAAATATTTTAAATTGCAGTGCCAAAAATGGCAGATTTGAAAACTCTTTATAACTTCAACTACTGTACCAAAATGGGTATATAACTGAACTTTATAAAGGAACTGTGTGTCCATATATGACCCTAGGAAAGCACTTCGTTCTATGAGTTGTGTGCAATAAAGGAATTTAACTACGTCAATTTCTCTAGTTGGGTCTGCGTGATCGTATGTGGATAAATTCTGATGCTATAGTTCAACATTTATAGTCCAATATTTCATCAAATCCTTACCCAGCTAAAGTGTTAATAAGTTCCAAAAGACCAGAGAAAACATTTTAAAAAAGATTAATAGAATACCTTCTCTTCGTGATGCCAGCAGTTGGAAGTCAATGAGTATAAAAAAAACAGGGAAAACATTCTCTAAAAGATTCATAGAATACACTTCGACGATGCAGAGCATGGACATTGTGCCAGGCATTTCATCCGAATATATAAACAAGTTTGGTCGCGGCGCGGGGTTAGTCCAAGTTTACCAACATCACGTTGTGTCGGTTAATACAGTCAAGGCCCGTGTGTACAGTTTTAGAATTATAATTGACCGGACCAATGACTAATCCTTAAGCCAACCGAAATACGCGAGCTTGCGATGTAAAGCGCCGCGACCACGCTGAATACCGTTCTTTATTCATCACCCCTGAGGTCTGAATGGCCGACGACAGCCCCGGTATTCTTAGATCCGAATGTTACGTCGTCGACGTATAATCGTCAAACAGGGAAATCCACGCGTCGTATTAATAGATTTCTCGTAAAAATAGACCCAGTGATGCATCCTTGTGTATATGTGTGTACGTGTGCGCCTGACTGAAGCGAGATCGTGGAGCCTCCTTCGTCATTTCGGAGATTCATCGGTGTTCTCGGTTACCATCGTTGGGGGAAGTTCTTCTTCTTGTATTCCTTTCCCATCTCCGTGACAATCCCCAGGGGGATGGAACATTCATTAATGACTGCGGTGGTAGCCTCGTGTTTTACTCGTCGTGTGGACGATAATGGGAGTGGAGGTGGATAGAAAAAAGATAGGAAGAACGGTCACACGCGCCGTAACCTTTCTATTTTCGAGCTGGCGATTAGATTTATTTGTGGTCGGTCCTCGAGATACCAAGGGAACCGCGTTTCCGGTTCCGGAAATCGTGGCATTCACCGCGGGGATTATGTACATTTCTTCTCGACTCGGTTCGATCGTTATCAGCGGAATGAAAATTTTGCGATGGCCAAGTGGCCTCTGCTGAATTATTTGCAGACTCATTAACATTCCTGCTTGGCTGTAATCTGGTTCGTTTTGTGTGTGTATATACACTATGGATTCCGTAGTGAGTCATGTAAGAGGAGCTACATTTGTAGATTCGGTAAATATTGATATTAACGGAAATTGATTTTTCGACGAAGGTTGCTTGTGTCAATAGATGTTATGTAATTCCGATGGCTCGGGCTTTCTTCATTGAATAACGTCGAACATTGAATAATTTGTAAGTTAACAGGCTACCTTTTACGTAAGGATAACAGGTTCGGGAACGAAGATACCCATCTGCTCCTTATTTCATTTTTATCGAACGCTCTTTCCACTCCCAGGTGTCAGGGATTCTCAAACCGTGGTGTTTTCTTCTCCGTACTTCAAACGCCATTGAGACATTGATCCTAGAATCTACGATGTCTAAAGGGTCACAAAATCATTTTCCTATCCTCTCAAATTGATACTCTATATTTTAGTATTATTCTACGACCCATTTAACACTTCTACACGTACATTGTAAAGAGGCTAGATTATTTAAACACCATTAGAAAATTTTTGCGTCGAATTAATATCGCACTATGATTTAAAACAAGACCAGCAGCGTCTGGCTACGTACGGCTTTTTTCACTGTGGCAGTGAACGTATTAAAGTAACAAATCTGAAGTATCGCGAAGTACTCAAAAACCCTCGTAAGAACCTCTGCACCCTGCTTCTTTCCCGATGACAAAAAATCGACCGTCGAAAAGTTACTTAATCTTTAGACATGCCCAGAAAGGAACACCATGTTTCGCTTCCAAACAATCCCCCCTGCAATAAATATATCCGGCTTCAATCAACCGATACACGAGGAACGACAAAGATCAAGAGGGGAATGAGGACCCTGTGGAGAACTGAGTTGTTGACGTTCCGGATAGAGGACAGGTGGCGGCGACGATGGGCGCCTTTATCGAACGAGATCGAAGATAATCTCGCCATCTTTTCCCCCCTTATCTTCTTTTTTCTTTTCTCTCTCTCTCTCTCTCTCTGTCTTCTCCCTGGTCAACCCTTCTCGCGCGCGCTTACGGCCGTACGATCCTCCTCCTGTTGCTCTTGGCAGCCGTGCGCATGGTTTACGTGGTAACAGCTGTGCTCGCACGCACTTTGCTCGCGCAAAACATCGCTAATGGACCGACAACCTCAACCGAGCTCAGCCCCGCTTACGCGTAAATATAGTGAACCGACCGAGCGCGCGCGACCGCCTCTCTTTCTCCCCATCTTTTCTATGTATGATCCTCCCGTCCCTCCCTCTGGCCTAGCTTTTGTCGCCCGCGGATGGAATTTATGGCATAAGCATGATCGTTCTATATGTCGCGGAGTTTTTGAAATCTTGTCCTTCTTGCCTCGAAGACCTTGTTGGTCTTGTTAGACTATGGGCTCAGAATGACCTGACATTCGATGAGGTCTGACTGAGGGTCAAGTCATCCGATTGGCTTCAACTATTATCTCTTGATTAGTTGTCCTCTGCATTCCTGGATTCTGTTCACCATTGCATCCTTAGCTACTAGTACAACAGACAGTATATATAAAAAGCTCCCTTATCTAATGTATTCGGAAGAATCTAGTGACCTAGTAAAGATCTTAAGAAGATTACGTTGTCGTGTCATAAACTAACGGCTACAGGATCTCTAAGGTCTAAATTGTTCTATTGTCGTCGAACCTTACGAATCTGGATGTCTGGACATCCGCAGGCCGTATGCGCTTAGGTAGTTCTAAGAGCCTTTTGATAATTTTTGCGACATACGGTAACTGTCAGGTTTAAACTTTTTAGGAAGCTTCTTCTGCGGCTGTCGTCAACATATCTCAATAATGGATATTAAAATGTCGAGCGAAACGAGTACTCTGATGGTTCCTGAACGGATCCGCAGTATGAATCATTAGATCTATCGCGGTAGCTAGTGGAATTCGAGGTGACCGCTGATATCGTGCGCGCGCGTGTGTATACGTGCGCGAGATGTGTGCCGAAGCTAAACATTCCGCGGAGCATTCACCCTGGCATTGCTGTAAAAATAAACGGATCGCCAACGGTGTATATCCACCTCGTCCCCGAGGTCTCCGTTTCATTTACGATACCAGTGAACCGAAACCTGCGGTGTGCTTCTTCCTGTGGCTTGCTCCGCCTCGGACGGAGACCTTTCACCTGGCCCCGTCGTTGGACGAAAGCAAATATCGATCAGAATGTGATAGATGGATCGACACGTTGATCAACTGATCATGCTTTTTCGTTGTTTCAGGAGACACTGAATCATCGAAACTGGGTGACCTGATCTTCAGATTTTAGTTATTCTTGTTGGTTTGAATGGTGGCTACCTTTGTTTGGTTTGTATGAATCGGGAGAAGAATCGTCAATGACCCAGGTACTTTAGGTAGTCGAGGAAGTCAACCGAATTTCTTTTATCCTTACACTTTATTTCTGAAACAGAATGGTAGTTCTTCGAGACTGAACCGAGCAACCGTCATCTGTAAGTCGACAGTGGCTCGATAGAAGCTTCTAGACACAAGTTGCTACAACTTGGAAAGATGATTGCCAATTCGTTGGATACATGCATCTAGTGCTCGTTAGTTCATGTAGACTAGGCTTTAGGGTACAAGGCTACAGAGCAGTGATGGATGATAGGATCTCTGCCTGTGCATTAAAAATGTCATTATGAGAAAGAAAATACCTGTTCGACTATTCAGGGTGGCGGTGGTTGTGGTTTTCTTTTGTTTGAAGGATCAAGCAGGCTCAAGGTCGCGAAATCATAAATATCTTATGTAATGAAAACATCTCGGGGGCTGGAGCTTTAAGTATCCCATAACGTCGATTGTAACGAGTGTTCGTAAAACCGTCTGCAAAATCTCCGTCTTCTTTTTTCTGTTTTTCTTTTTTTTTTTTTTTTTTTTTTCATTGATGCTCGATCCCGGTCGAGCCTAGGACGTTCTGGAGCGAGCCTTACTGTCGCTCGTAAAAGTGATTTAAAAGTGCAGCGTGTAAACGATGTCGAATAGTGGCACGATGTAAATGCGTGGTGTTACTAGTTTAGAACCGGACCTCCGTGACCAGACTCTGAAATCTCGTGACCGACGGAAGGACGACGGCGACGATGTTGCAAATAGTACCAGCCAGATCGTGACAAACTATGATAGATGACCAGCTACTTAGGACACGGATCCAGCTTGCTCGGCATCGGAAACCTTTCTGAAACGAAAATGTTCGAGAAGGGTCCAACTACCATAAAATTGCATTTCTTTAAAATAATTGCAAAATAAATGGTTAGAAGACACTTGCTTTTAACTGAAATAATTTTTAATAAATACCCTTATGTCTCCACTGTAAACACCCATAATTTTCATGTTGATCAGTTTGTTAGTTCAGCAGAATTAACTTTCAAGGTTTCAACTTCCTCGAAAAAAGTCGATTTGACTCCGTTAGAACTTTCCATGGATATTGGTTTGGCAGTGAACGTGTTAACGAGTTAGATCTTCGATTTTCGTTCCTCCGAGTTGGCCAAAGTTCCTGACCTTCCCCGGTGTCTCGCGATCATCGGGCATATTCCACGAAAACGACAGCGCGTCGGGCAGGAAAGAATACGTAGGCCCGAGACGTGCCAAGTGAGTCAGTGAGAGCTGGACGGTTCACGAAATTAGATCGCAACGGCGCGGATTATACAGAGGAGGCGAGCGGCCGGCTGTTCGTTGCTGCATCGCTCTAACCGGCATTGATTCATCGGGGCCGTCGTTTGCGCCCAGATGGTTGCTGGTATACAATGTATGTCGGTAGGGCGGCAGTCCTGAAACGTTACCCGGTACACGAGATTAAAGATCATTTCACGGGGTGTTACGCGTAATCGTAAATTCGTTCGCGCAATAACACACGAGGAAGTGTCTGGGAAAATTTACGAGGGAAAAACACGATGACCTTGCACGATCGTTCGCGCGTTATACCCTTTACCATTTCTGATATTATCGAGTCCTGGAAAAAGGATCTATCAGTCTATGGATTTGTTCTTCTAGAAAAAATAAACACCGTCGAGTTGTCCAGAGGGGGAGAGAGGAAGAACAACAACCCCTTGGAGGCGATCGTCGTTAATCTTCCTTGTTATTTATGACACCCTGACCACCCTCGTAGCCTCGGGCTAGAGTGTCAGGATGTTCCGGTTGATGTGCACCATTCCTCGCGTTATGAATATACCTTTCCCTTACCATGCGCGCTGCCAAGCGCCGAGATGTTCTTCGTGGAGAAAAAAACGTATGGTGAAACCCCACAAGCGAGATGTAAGACGTTTTAGTAACCCCTCGCTCAGTGGGTGCTGGATCATTTGACCTGGACTATTGCAGTCATTGTATTCTTCGTTAACCTCTAACTATAAACCAGTTGCTTTACAGACGAATTTGAATCTTCATTACACTGTCACAACCTAGTGAAGAATTTTGGAAGTACCGTTCGAGTATCCTGAAATTAACAGCTAAAAGGATTCGGGAGACGTACCACGATATCCAGACCTCTTTGCCAAACATCTGTTGTTAAGGGTTAAAGATTGGAGACTTTACATTCGTGGAATCACATTACGTTAAAAATGTGGAAGTATCAATAAACACTTCAAACAGTTTTCTAGAAGATACTATTCCAAAATGACAAGAATTGTAAAACTAACGCGTTAAAATGAATCAGGAGACAAACCATAGTCTCCATATACCTCTTTACCTAATTCTGACTTCGAACGAGCCCATCCACGTCGTCCACGATCTACGTCGCGAAGGGAACGTCTCCGAGAATCGGCCAGTTTATTCTAGACCTTTGTGCGAATTTCGGACAGCTAGCCTATCTCCGCGCTCGAGGATGATCATAATTCACACGGTCGACGGAATATCAGGTGGCATAACGGGGCCGCTTAATAACGCGCGGATTACAGAACCACGGTTTGAACAAGGGAAAGCACCAGCAGATGAAAAACGATGAATCGGACAAGATATGACGACGCCTGGCATGGACTTGGCTTCGGGTCTAGGAAGCTTGGCCTCTTCGACCGTTGTAGCCCTTAATGAGCCTAACACGGGACCGGTCCAGCCTCTTTAACTCTGTTTCTCCTGTCAACTGCTTCTGTCTGCTTCGCGGTCTGGCTGTCTTCTCCTTCTCTTCCTCCTGCTCCTCCCCACCCTTGGCCTTTCTCTCTCTCTCTCTCCACCCTCATCACCATCGCCGGCCGGAGCGTGACCTGGATGGTGCCCAAACGAAATACCATCCTCGTCGCTGCCTTTTTCGTCGCCGCCATTTTGGAGAACCGCGCGTTGCACCAGTTTTGCCCGGTAACTCTGGGGTCGCTCTGGTAAACAGCTTTGTATCTGTCACGGGGGATTAATAAACGACCAATTCGAGTGTTCACGAAATTTATCGGATTCCCTGGCCTCGCCCAGGTTCATCATTCTTTTGTGTCCTTAGAACCGATTTCTTTTAGGGCTTTTGGATCACTAGCTTGTAGGTCTGTGGATTGGTTGCTAGAGCTTTTGCCATTCCAATTGTTTACATAGCCTATGAACTTCCAGGCAGAGGGATTTTACTTCTCAATCCGCGTGTTCACCTTCGATCCTGCTGCCAAGTGATCGCTTTCGAGTAGTTCCACCATTCTACACGCCGAGCATACTAGTGAAGTGTAAAACGGTTCCACAAGGTCAGTCTTTCCTATGACCTAATTCTGTCTAAACTGAAATTGGGGTTCTTAAATTTGTAAGTTAATACTCTAAATCATTCTCGAGATCCGTATTTGTTAAAAATTTCAATTCCCTTATTGACCTTGCAAACCTCGATCCGATTCAGAATTCCAAAGGTGACTCGAAGGATCGATGAAACAACCCGCGAACGGACAATATAATTTCCAACCTTGTTGACTCTAGCTGTCGAAACATATTCGATATCAATCAGTTTTCATCGAGTTAGTGTATTCCGCGGGCAACTAAGTGAACAAGTGACGGTTCAGCGTCGAGCGATCGATAACGACGCCGATCGACCAGGAAAACGATTCAATGCCAATGTTAAAGCAGAGCATTCTCGAACGGAGTTAACTCCAAGCGATCGCGTGAACGCACCCTGCGTTCGTCGAATCTTGCCAAAAAGCTTCTGTGCATTATCCGCTTCCTGTCGCCGTGGCTTTTGTGTTTTCCTAGCCGTTCGTCGAATTGGCTGCCTTCCGGACGCGTTCCCGATCGGTGGGTACGCGTAAAACCAGGCCAATTTCTTCGGTGAATATCTATTTATTTATTTTTAAATGATGGATGTCGATGTGTGTCGCCATTTTCAAGTGTGTATTTGCAGGCCGTTTGTCAGAGATATTGCGCCGATGGTGCGAACAAATGGAGGAGGAGGCGAGCTATTTAAAGCAACTCGTGTGTCAGGAACTGTTGCGCGACGATGAGGGCCTTTGTTTCGGATTGTTAAGAATTATGAAGGTCCGATGAAGAAGCGTGTTGTTTGCTGTCACGACGTCTTGTGAAGATGATTGTTCAAGGAAAACAATAACGGAGCGCTATTATGAAAGTGTCGTTACGGAAATCCAGACTCATAGAACAGCATTCACCTTCAGAATTATATTGTTCAACTAATCTTACACAGTAATTCTTTAAGCTTAGAACTTCTCGAATTGAAATTGTTAAAGTGGAATTTTGTCTCATTAGAAGGGTTATTTTCCAAGGGTATTTTTTAACTTTGGACGTCCAGTTCAGGACTTTCGCGATCTATTTTTCGGAACACTCGATTTCCCATGTATTTCACGAAAAGCTACTGTCCTAAATTTATGGAACAGCTTACCAATCGCTAGCCTGTAATATCGAAATATCAACCTAGTTTCCATACGTTCGACCAGAGTACCGAACAGATGGAGAGAACAAAAGGATTGAGAACTTAAGAAAAAAAGTCCATGGATATATATTAGCGAGACATTTGAAAAACAGCGAACAGGATCGTTCTGTGGAATCAAGGACGAACGACGATAGAGGTGCATCCAAGATGACGCGCGTTAATTTGTCTGCTAACTATGTTGAACTATGCGGCTGTTAGAACAACAGCTTAACGTCGTTTCTTGCTCGTTCGCTCCTGTCGCGGTGGAAACAAGCGAGTTTATCGAGTCGTAACGTTGCGCCGCCGCGACGAGAAAATTGGAAGCAGCGCGCGCGAAGATATTATTGCCGCGATGACAGCCGTTCCTGCGATTTCGTACCGGACCCGCGCTGGTACTCGCTTTAATGACTTCATAACTCCTTTACGTATCAAATCGCGGCACGGTGACGGCGAGTCTGGCGATATTATTGCGCGTGCTCACGCGTAATTATTGG